CGTTGATACATTGTACCATTTTCATTATCATAAATATCATTACTATTGTTGAATGCAGGCCGCACATCCTAGTAGCATATTTTTGCCGCTTTATACGTTATGTTGCAATTCTATACAGTTGCTATACATTTTTGACACACTAAAATATTTTACCCCTTCGCAGCCCAGAGTCAAATTTTAGAACTGAAATGCAGTTGCCGCTTACATCTACTAAACTAGCGGCCTCAGACTATAATCTGTTCGTCGGATGACGTTTTTGAGACTTTATAAATTAGTACCGATATAAATGCAGCTTCGTCTCACCTCGATTATAGACCAAAATGTTAAGTTGTACGCCTTTCATGTGGGTCACAAATCTTATCCGCACCCCGCCATCTATGTATTGATAATACCGTGGGTTTGTGTTGCCACAAAACCTGCCCTGTCTAAGGTTCGAATTGCTCTGGACGATATCCACGTATGCCAAAGTACATTTTTCGATCCATTCATGTCGAAATGTTCCACTAAACGATATACGGAGCACTAGTACCTGAAACAGAAAAGTGAGAGACAGAAAGTCTAAAAGAAACGAACAAAACATCCTCCGTGCTATGAGCAACTGACGTACGTGTGTCTGGAGGGGGGGGGGGGGGGGAGTAAGAGAGAGAAACACGCAAGTTCAGTGTATTTAGGAAGTAACTAATAAATTATTCACTTTGATACAATGACATTTCACTTAATACTTCGCATTGCATTTGACAAACATAAAACAGCTATGGCGCTCAATGAAAAAGTAATGGTCCAGAAAGCCAACCGCTGAAATTAAGTATTTCGTATTTAATCTGCAATCTCTTAGAAATATGTGATTGAGATTGTTCTGGGTCACTTTTTTCGTTATAGTATACGTCCTGGCCTAACTGATGTTTGTTTTCAGGGTAGAATATAGGGTGTTTGGAATCGATAGGTAAATGAATGACTGCATAATGTAATCTGTAAAGAGAACAGTGGGGAAAATGAAATCAAAATCCGTTTTGATGTAACATTCTCAGACTATTTTAAAGCTTTAACACTACCATCAAAGCAATGCGGAAAATCAACAAGAAAGTTTAAAAATTTTAACATCTTTGTCAACCCTGCATGAGTTAATGTTATCGTGTTAACGATTGTGCATTATTAGGCATGTACTTAACATCTGGAAAACAAAAAATCATGAAGGAATATAATACTTGCATGGCCCACCACTGAAAAGTATCGCCAAAACATGATGCTCTTTAATTTACTTGAAATTCCTTGTGCTGTAACTTTAATAAGTGGCTTTACCTGTCCCGGTTGTCCCGTTATTTCCCACGTGCATGCTGAACTGTCATTTCTGGCACTGGTGTAGCCTATCTTGGCAGGTGGCACCACTGATCCTGACCCTACCGCACACGTATCTGAAATATTACACGTAAAACCTAATAATATCCCCTTTTCTTCTGTTTTCGGGAGGAGAGCAAGCAAACGATAGCGAATGATGGGAAAACTCCAATAAAACTAATATACCCTTGCCTCTTTCAATGATCTGTCCAAGAAATGGACATGATTCCAAAATCGGCTGCACGTTCCACAACCCTTTGAAACAGCGCATTTACAACATTTACGGGTTTCCAAAACTGGCTAACTGAAAATATTCTATATAAGTGACACCAAACTAGTTCTTATTCTTAAGCTTCCGCACGATTTCTGATATAACTTAAATGTAAAACAGTGTCAGGATGGAAACGTCGAAAACAATCTGTGAAAAAAAAAGCTCTTTTATATTACTTGTATGTTAACAGACAAACTCGTACATGATGGCTTCAGTGTATTTTACCCACGTGCACGTAACTGAAATTGTGTTTTATGGAGCACCACTTACACCACTACATATGAACTCTGTTGACTACATTAACCAGATTATTCGCCTGGCATTTTAAAAGTCACTTAGGTTTGAAAATCCGAAGATTGGACAAAGAGAAGTCTGTGCACAATTCAGTTTCTGACAGGGATGACAGGGATGTGTCCTACAGTACTAGTGCCTGCATGAGATTTGGTCCAAATACTTGCAAAGGGCATTAGGTCTTATTTCTCTGTCAATGAGGAACCTCATATATTCAAGGAGAGAGAGAGAGAGAGAGAGAGAGAATTCAACTTACCTCTAACATATTGCCCCAAACAAAAGTCAACCACGCCAAAAACCTGAAGCAAAAGAAGTTTCAAACATGTCGAATTCATGTTTTCCGCAATATTTGCAACGACTGCGCTGTTAAACAGACCTCTGTGTTTGATATCTGGTTCTCATTTAGAGTTGCTATAAAAAGGAACCGAAGCCTGTGCTTGCGAAAGACGTAATGAAGCATAATAATGACTGCACGCAGTTTCAAGGACATAGTTCCAACTCCAGGAACTAGGGCAGGATGTGATCGATGATTTGTGAAGCTGATGCATTGGCCACCAAAAGCTCATGTAATGAGAGAAACAAACTGTCACTTTCAGTTTTTTTATAACTGACATAAATAATTTTAAAAAGGAAGCAAAGTTAACCTTTATGTGTTTTGAAGGACAAGTTCTAAGTTTTAAACAAGTTCCAAGCGTAAACATGCTATCTTGCACATATATACACAATGATTTCATTTTCGTATTTAAAATAGTTTTTCTTCTTAAGCCGGATATGCGACAAATCCAGACTTAAAATAACATGTAAAAGAACTATGTTGGCAGCAGTAATTACTGGTATGAATCTGGTAAAAAACAACTGATCCGCACTGTTTGTAAGGAAATAAAAATATATATATTGAACTTGACACATTTTTGATTTTTTTTTCAGGTCAGGTCCGAAATGGGCTATAGTTGGGTGGTGATTAGGAATAGTGAATCAATAAATAAGATTATCAATTACAGTAGCAGATTTGGGTGGGGGGGGGGGGGGGTCAGGGGGGTCCTGATCCCCCCCTTTCGATTTCTGAAAAAAATCACATCAATGGTCCCCTCTTGAAATTAGAATTTTGACTTGCTGAATCGTAGTTCTAAACCATACCAAATGGCACCGTTTGCCCTCTAAAATACCAAATTTTTTGGGCCCTTCAGCGGGCCCCAAACCCCATGCCAAGGGAGGGGGGGGGGAGACGGTCGGCATTGCATCCGTGAACCCCCCGCTTCAAATAATCNTGAACAAAACATCCTCCGTGCTATGAGCAACTGACGTACGTGTGTCTGGAAGGGGGGGGGGGAGTAAGAGAGAGAAACACGCAACTTCAGTGTATTTAGGAAGTAACTAATAAATTATTCACTTTGATACAATGACATTTCACTTAATACTTCGCATTGCATTTGACAAACATAAAACAGCTATGGCGCTCAATGAAAAAGTAATGGTCCAGAAAGCCAACCGCTGAAATTAAGTATTTCGTATTTAATCTGCAATCTCTTACAAATATGTGATTGAGATTGTTCTGGGTCACTTTTTTCGTTATAGTATACGTCCCGGCCTAACTGATGTTTGTTTTCAGAGTAGAATATAGGGTGTTTGGAATCGATAGGTAAATGAATGACTGCATAATGTAATCTGTAAAGAGAACAGTGGGGAAAATGAAATCAAAATCCGTTTTGATGTAACATTCTCAGACTATTTTAAAGCTTAAACACTGCCATCAAAACAATGCGGAAAATCAACAAGAAAGTTTAAAAATTTTAACATCTTTGTCAACCCTGCATGAGTTAATGTTATCGTGTTAACGATTGTGCATTATTAGGCATGTACTTAACATCTGGAAAACAAAAAATCATGAAGGAATATAATACTTGCATGGCCCACCACTGAAAAGTATCGCCAAAACATGGTGCTCTTTAATTTACTTGAAATTCCTTGTGCTGTAGCTTTAATAAGTGGCTTTACCTGTCCCGGTTGTCCCGTTATTTCCCACGTGCATGCTGAACTGTCATTTCTGGCACTGGTGTAGCCTATCTTGGCAGGTGGCACCACTGATCCTGACCCTACCGCACATGTATCTGAAATATTACACGTAAAACCTAATAATATCCCCTTTTCTTCTGTTTTCGAGGGGAGAGCAAGCAAACGATAGCGAATGATGGGAAAACTCCAATAAAACTAATATACCCTAGCCTCTTTCAATGATCTGTCCAAGAAATGGACATGATTCCAAAATCGGCTGCACGTTCCACAACCTTTGAAACAGCGCATTTACGACATTTACGGGTTTCCAAAACTGGGTAACTGAAAATATTCTATATAAGTGACACCAAGCTAGTTCTTATTCTTAAGCTTCCGCACGTTTTCTGATAACTTAAATGTAAAACAGTGTCAGGATGGAAAAGTCGAAAACAATCTGTGAAAAAAAGGCTCTTTTAAATTACTAGTATGTTAACAGACAAACTCATACATGATGGCTCCAGTGTATTTTACCCACGTGCACGTAACTGAAATTGTGTTTTATGGAGCACCACTTACACCACTACATATGAACTCTGTTGACTACATTAACCAGATTATTCGTCTGGCATTTTAAAAGTCACTTGGGTTTGAAAACCCGAAAATTGGACAAAGAGAAGTCTGTGGACAATTCAGTTTCTGACAGGGATGACAGGGATGTGTCCTACAGTACTAGTGCCTGCATGAGATTGGGTCCAAATACTTGCAGAGGACATTAGGTCTTATTTCTCTGTCAATTAGAAACCTCATGCATTCAAGGGGAGAGAGAATATATTAAACTTACCTGTTACATATTGCCCCAAACAAAAGTCAACCACGCCAAAAACCTGAAGCAAAAGAAGTTTCAAACATGTCGAATTCATGTTTTCCGTAATATTCGCAACGACTGCGCTGTTAAACAGACCTCTGTGTTTGGTATCTGGTTCTCATTTAGAGTTGCTATAAAAAGGAACTGAAGACTGTGCTTGCGAAAGACGTAATGAAGCATTATGACCGCACGCAGTTTCAAGGACATAGTTCCAACTCCAGGAACTGGAGCCGGATGTGATCGATGATTTGTGAAGCTGATGCATTGGCCACCAAAAGCTCATGTAATGAGAGAAACAATCTGTCACTTTCAGTTTTTTTATTACTGACATAAATAATTTTAAAAAGGAAGCAAAGTTAACCTTTATGTGTTTTGAAGGACAAGTTCCAAGCGTAAACATGCTTACTTGCACATATATTCACAATGATTTCATTTTCATATTTAAAATAGTTTTTCTTCTTAAGTCAGATATGAGACAAATTCAGACTTAAAATAACATGTAAAAAACTGTGTTGGCAGCAGTAATTACTGGTACGAATCTGGTAAAAAACAACTGATCCGCACTGTTTGTAAGGAAATAAAAATATATATTGACCTTGACACATTTTGATGATTTTTTTCAGGACAGGTCCGAAATGGGCTATAGTTGGGTGGTGATTAGGAATAGTGAATCAATAAATAAGATTATCAATTACAGTAGCAGATTTGGGGGGGGGGGGGGGGGTNTACCCCCTACCCTTTCTAGTCACTCTGATCCCATACACGCATTTTAAGGTGAGAAAGTTAAAAACATTTATTGATTTATTTTTCATTTTCTGTTGATATAAACTGAAAACTCACTGATAACGTTTAAATGGGCCACGTGCTATTTCAGGTCCGCCCTCAGGTATCGTAATGCCACGTTCAGCTGTCACGAGACACTTCATATTGACCTTTGCACATGCGCACCATCATACCCAATACCGGTTCCGCTTTGAAGCCAATAACTGGAAGACAGAGTCTAATTCAACTGAAACATCACTTCAGAAATCAGTATTAGACTCTAAAAGAGGTCAGTGACATGGTTCTAAGATTAGGAGTGTTGTTTGTCTGTGAAGGCTCTTTGAAAGCAAAAAACAAGAATGGGATCTTAAAATTCAACCCAGTGGATGAAAAATAGGTCAAGTTATCTTCACTCATTTTCCTCTTTTAGGTGATGTCGGTCCGAGTGGTGAGGCATAGTAAATTTCGCCATGTCTATGGCAAAGCAGAGAAGAAGGATAACTGCTATGAAAACATTAGAATTACAAAGAGCGGTTGGGATTCACAGTTTTGTGCTGTCAATCCGAAATATTTGGCTGTTATCACGGAAAGCGGAGGGGGAGGATCCTTCCTCGTTCTGCCTCTGAACAAGGTGAGTTCTACTTCCGTTTTATGATTTAGACAGTAAAACCTGGACACTGCCGGTGACATGTACATATTAGCTATCACCATCAACACAACAAAATTGGAAGAAAAGCGGATGAATTGCTGTTGATGTACCTGGAGTTTGTCCAGCATATTTCAGTGTTGAATCATCATTGTATAACTGAATTAGGAGTGTATTTATTCAGTCGCATGTTACACCTGAAGCAAGGTTTAGAAATCAGCTGTTATATGTTGAGGACAGTTAATAGATACTTGAAAATAGGTACCCACATTTTGTTGCAATTGAGATTATAGCATACCTGAAATGGTTTAACAATTTACAAACCCAAAACAGACTTTGCATGTTGAGTAATATAGGGAAAACTATTTTATATATTATAATACTAGTATGGAACTGTTACCATACTAGCAAACTAGACATTACATGTTGCCCAGACCTACAGTGGCAGGTGCATACCAATTAATGTAAACGTCCTTTTAAGCAAATATGCTGACCCCAACTTGTTTTTAAATAATGATTTTTTAAATTTAATTTAAAATACAAGAAAAGCACGTACAGTAAGGTTGTTTTATATATGATTGAATGTTACTTTTATGATATCTAATATTAAGATAAACTAATTATACCAGTGATAGGTCCATTCGGGGGGATCATAAAATAGCATTTATTTGTGTACTTAAAACGTTTAGTTTGAAATATAATTTCTAAAATTACATAATGAATAATAATAATAATAATGAATAATAATGAATAATAAGCACAATTTTCTGTGAGTTTTTATGTGCAGAGTGGTTTTCTCTTGTGGAATTTTGTCAAACATGTTCCACAGTGAAGACCTCCATTGCTAGGCTGTTTTACATAGCACAGATATTTGCAAATATAATAAATTATGCCATAAAATTCTGCCTTGCACATAAGATGGAGATAAATTGGAGTTTATTCCCAGGTCACCATAGTGCTTTCAGATTGTCATTATTACACCAGAAGTATCACCAGCCTATTATAACACTTGTGGTATAATGAATTGCGACTACGAGCCAAAACCACTTGACTGGTTGCTGCATTTCATTGTGGATTCATGCTTATTTGATTTCATTGCCCTGCATGTTTGACCAGCAAGGAATTTACGTGATTTTTTTTCTTTGAGGGGTTGGGGTGGGAGAGGTTTTTTCTTTAGATGAGGAGCAATAGATGACCTGTAACATTGTGAAGGCTTCAGGTGCATACAAAAATACCTTACATTTGAGGTGTAGCTGCAAAGATTGTGTACATATCTTTAGTGGACCATCTGTTGTTATATGTACTCAGTCTGTGACGTTAACCACGGGCCTGACTGCCAATGCCAGTAAAAAAATTGGACCCAGCCAATAAAATTTATGAAAAACAATCAGTTACTGGCGAGACCAGGCTTGTGAATTTTGTAAGCTATAACATGTACTCCAATTCATTTTATGAATGTTCAGGCTAAATGTTTATATCTTTTTTTAACCTCCTGAAATCCCATGTCTTTGTTCTTATTAGTAATCAGGAGCTTGTTTAATCTCAATGTGTTAATTTAGGTAATTATTTTTAAATTGGACTGGGGACCAGTGAATTTTGCCAATAGATTCTCAGACCCTGGTGGCCCCGGTGGCCTATAAGTTGAAAGGTTTTTGGCACAGACTGTGTCCTGTGCTGTATGTATCATGCTTGTCTTTTGTGCACATATTTGTCTGTACGCAATTCTGCAGTGCATTTCATTTTAGTATAATATTGCAATTATCTAGAATGGACATAATCTGAAGGTTGATTTGCTTAAATATATTTATTATGTCTCCCTCATTGCAGTCAGCTAGTATACCTCTTTTGTAGAGAGATTCATGCCACAGGGTAACATATCAGTTGTAAGGCCCTACCATATTGTTAACCTAATGTCTTATGCCCATATTCAGTTTCTCTATATAAATTTCTCTTTTTATATATAGTACTTCAGTGCATGTTTTAAATCCTGTGATTAAATCTACATGATCCCATCTGAATGTTTGTAGTTTACCTCCCACTTATCCTCACTTACACACAGATAACTTGTCCTTGCCGCAGGGTGGGGTTGGAGGGGTGGTCCCTCTGTTTTGCATTGCCTGACTGCTTTGAGACAAGTGTTAAGTTTGACATGGTGATATTATGGTTCTTAACATGTCTTTCACTCATCAAGTGTTGCCATACTTTATGGCTGATGAGTCACTTCAGCAGGGCAGGGCACTTGTCCTATGGGTGTCATTTGTGTACTAAGTTGCTGTAAGTGGGGACAGATGTCAACCTGCATGCTTGAGGTTTGCATCAGTGATTTAATGTATTCGATACAGAATGTCTGCTATTTGTTTGTAATTTTGTTTAGCTTGTAGCAGTGCCTTAAAGTTTGTCAATAAAAACGCGACACCTGGCTGATGTGTCTTATTCAGTCATTTATTGTAAATAGGAGACATTGTTTAAAAAAATGAATAAATAAAATAAAAATAATATATACTCTAAAACTTGTATTTGAAATTGTCTCTGACCTCTATTTTTTCTAATGCTGTGATGTGTAGCCAAGTGTCTATGAATTAGAGACCTGCCTGATCTGATGATAACATTTCTTATTCCTAAAAGTCGAACAGTTGGAAAATGATCTGGGATACGTACATTTGAATATGCTCTCAATTGTATTAACATGTGATTTTTGTTTTGTTATACATATGCACATGTGGAAGCTGTGTTGCTTTGGACATGATGGGTGGCTCACCTCTCAACAGCTAGTTAATTTGGCTAGCAGGATATCATCAGTTAATATTCAGGAAGCCATATCTGATGTAATATGTAAAGATTGGACGCATGATCTAATTATCACATGATATATAAGATAAGATAATTTGTGGAACCCCTCTCCCTCCCTTACTTTTGACATGAAAAATTATAATATTATTTATTATATTATATCTAGTAAAAAAAGTGTAAAAATTTTGTTTGTTTTGCAAAATGAATAGTACAGAATGGGCCACACACACACACACACACACACACACACACACACACACACACACACACACACACACACATATTAATGTTCTGATATTACAACTGTAAACTCAGCAATTTCCTGCATATATCTTGGGATGGGGTAAATCAGTATTTGCCATTTAAGGGCGCATTGCTATAGATTTTAGATCGATCTATCCCCATGGGGAGTCTCACTAGATTACTGTCAGATAATCCGGCTTAAATGTCCGTCCTGCCTACTACAAACTGTAAGGGGGTAATTAACTTTCGTGCCCGCTCGGCAGATAGCGATTTAGCGTGAACCCCCAGGGAGTTAGGTCGATCAAGTTGGATCGCTCTAATCTCTGGGAATGGGGTCTAAGTGTTAATTGCTCTATATTAGACACCAAAATTTATCAAACAGTACAGGATCTAGTTCTATATAATTTGTCTGTGGTCTTAAAAAGGATTTGTGAACCATGTCCTGGATATGTAGAGCACATGTCCTGGTGTGAACCTGATTATTGTCAGGCAGCTTTTGTCCACAGCCTTATTTGGTCAGTTTTCCCTTATACAGGTGTATTGTCTCCTTTCTCACCTTTGTCATATCCATGTCCAAATTAAGTATAGCCAGCATTGTGCCCACTAATCAGCTGTGAATAGAGCAGTTGTTGATAAGGCAAACATATCAAACTGATTGTTTTCTGATGAGTTGTCATTGTCAGTTGTGCCTCCTTGAGTCTCCTGATAAATGTATGGCTTATTAAGTGCATGACATGAATTGTAATTTTTATAAGTGGTTATAAATGATTAAATTATTACCTAACTTAGCAGAAGTTTGTGTCAGAATATACAAATGCTTCTATCAGTAATGTTGCTGATGATAGGCTGTCGTCTGGAGACCTGGGGTCCTGTTTTCATAACTCAAAAGTTGGCCCTAACATTAAGACCCCAACTTTGGTTCTGTATCTATCCATGAAAATTGTATTTTGTGTTATTGAAGCAGAGAGTTAAAGTGATAATAACTCTTCGTTTTGGCCAAAAAATGAATTTTCCTGGAGTAAACAACAATTTCCCCATACTTACCAATGGTTAATGAATCCATTTTTACTTTCAAAGTTAGTCCCTGGTTTTTTTCTAAAAAGTTTGATTTTTTGTTAAAATCTCTTAAGAGATTTTAACAGAGTATAGCCATCAGTGGAGGTCACGTGATCTAAAGACAAACTCAGATAGCAGAATAATAGCTATAACTGCCATTTTTGTGGTAAAACAGAATATATTATATTTCTATGAGTTATTCACAATGTTTTTATTGTGAAATATAGATCTCATACGAAGAGTTATTATCCCTTTAAGTTCTATAGGTCTAAAACAAGAGCCTGTTTTTACTTAATAAGTAAAAAAATATCTAAAATAGACTCATATATTTGTGGACTACTTACTGAATTATAGTGGGTTCAAGCAGGCAAGAATATTTGGACATCTAATTTAGTTTAATATTTGACTGTAGCTCTTCTGGGAAACTGGCCCTTGAGCAATGTTGTGCCTGGTCTGATAGGAAAAGATGTGACAGGCAGCTGACCATGTAACACCAGTAAACTGTCATTGTGCTGGGCTGTGTAATAAACAGTGTGGCCCGATGTTCTTAGCCATGAGGTCATTCACCTTGGATTGTTAAGAAACAGGAGATGTTTTAATCCAGAAATCAAGTTCTGCTTTTAAGATTTTGATATCAGTAAGTTACATGATAGAAAAAGTAGACCCTATGTCTTCTTCATGTTGCTCAGATATATCAAGCAAGTAGACTCAATCTCTGCCAGTGACTCAGACTTAGGCTCTATGTAGAAAGTGCAATCACATTAATATTGCTACTGTCATGCCAAGCAACAACTTTAAGGGTGCTTTCCCAGAGATTAAGGTTGATCTAAAGATTAAGTTTTAGATCGACCTAACTCCCTGGGGATTCACGCTAAATTGCAGTCAGCCGAGTGGGCACCATAGTTAATTACCCCCTTACAGCTTTTAGTAGGTGGGACAGACGCTTAAGCCGGCCAACCTGACAGTAATCTAGTGAGACTCCCCACAGGGATAGATTGATCTAAAAATCTATGGAAATGGGGTGTAAGGTGGATGCAGGAATGGTATCACTTCAAACGCAGGGCCAGCCTGTCTATCTTGACGTTATTCCCCTGTTCCTCACATTGATTCACATTTGTTTTAAATTAAAAACAGTTTGTATTTAGTTAAGTGTTTTGAGATTACAATAAACCCTCATACAAACTGAAAGGTATTTTAGTTTACAAAATTCAATGCTTTGCTTTCCCTAAAGGTGATAGTGATATATACACATCACAGAGTGTGTGACTGAAAGGTTGGCTTGGGTGAAGTGCTTTGGGGAAAGATGGCAGTGTGCCCATTGTGTTTTTATTCAATACCAGATCACGCCAAGAATTTTATCACATGTGCCAAGAGGGAGCATGGTGGTTAAAAGGTCACAAGGGTTGCCCTCGCACAGGTTGTCTACAAGTATGTCTAGAGCTAAGCTCTAAGCAGGTCTTTCCCCCTCACAGTTTCTGCCATTTCTTTAGGTGCAATTTTTCTTGAATCTGCTGTCTTGCATGTTGAGCAAATTAACATCATTTTATATAATCTGAACTATAGTTAAACAAGTTGATAACCTGAAGGGTTCCATTACATGTTCACTCTTAAATGTGACACTAGTTTTTTCCCACTTTAATCTGAACAGCAGTGTCAGCATATGGCAAAATGAAGTTTAAAAAACCTTCATATGTTTCAATATGTATGAAAGGTTCCAATTTTAACCTACTTCAACAGCAACTATGGAGAGAAAAAATGATTATTAGTTGATATACATTTTTCAATACATTATCCATTCTCTGTGGTAGTATATATATATAGCTCAGTCAAATGATATATGCATATTTATATGGTGACTCGAGAGGCAATATGAAGATTTCTCTGTGCTTGTGATATAATTTGCTTATACACCCTTTTTATTTGTTAGAAAAAATGTACAGGAAAACCAGGTATAGAAATTCAGTATCATCACTGATAGTCCTGAACTGTTTGATTAGGAAAAAAGATAAGCCATACAGTCTTCCCTTGTCCCTTTCAGATGTCCAAATTATGTAAGGTGCATCATTAGGGTGATGGATAAGCTATGGCTCCACTGAGAAGGTCTGCATGGCAATGGGAGTGCTCACCTATACCCACAAATAACTTAAATAATGCTTCATTGTGTCTGGACAGCTTCTCCATGTCATTAACTACACTGCTCTTGGGTATACATGGTTCATTGTAAGCTAGAAAACAGCAATGACCATAGTTATCTTAATTTGCTGTTGATGTCGAGGAAGGATTAGGATTAATAATAGATTACAGTCTTTTTTGTTTTCTAACAAGGTTGTTTGGTACGAAAGAACAAATGTCAAGATGCAGAAACATTTAATTGAATTATGCGAAAAAAATCAGTAGCCTATTTGAGTGTTTAAGATGCGTGTTAAAGTGAATTGTTATAGACCAAGGTGTCAAGCAAACAGGTATGTGCATATATGCTAAAATCACCTCTGCCTTTTCAAATAACTCAGGGAAAAATAACTTAAGGAAGAAAACATTTCTTTCGTCTTCTTTCACAAAAATGAGTCACAAGAAACAAATATCAGCAATTCTTCCACCAGTCAGTTGAGGTGAAATCCATTTATATTTACAAAGTAAGCTATTCAAACTTTTCTTGTTTTCAGCCAAGTAAAGAGTAAAAAGAGTATATTATATGTACTGGATTTGAGCATAAGGTGTACTTCTATTAACTACTTTGTGATGAAAAACGGATTTTGAATTTATTTTTATTTGTCCCCCATTTTCTCAAAAGAAATAACAGTCAAGCTATTTATTTAAGATAGATCTAAGAATGCACCCCCAAAGAATATTTCACTTTCAATTTCACTTTTCTTTACTCTATTTAATGCCTATATTCCTGAACATTATAAAAAATGGAGGTGCAGTATAAATATGCTCCATAACCCTACAATACAGCACATCAAGAACTTCTACAGTTTCACTTTGTCACACCTGTCGCCTGTCGCCAAATACAACACATCCAGCTTTGTAGATATGTAGATTTTTTTGTCATTGTGTTGGAATGATAATGGCTGACTTGGGGAAAAAAATACAAGTTTGTTGGATATCTGTACTTAGGTATCTTTGTTGGCAAGTGGACCATATATAACCTGAAAGTAGACTGTGATTGTTGCAACAATTAAAAGGCTTATCTGGTGCTTTCAAATAAGAATACAGGACATCAAAAAATTAAAAAGAAAAGACAAATAAATTTCCTGTTTAGAAAAAAAATATATTTAGACACTCCCTATATACTATTTAATCAGATCTGATGAAAACTATTACAACTTCTCTTTAAACCATTTCTTTCTCTGGACACCTTTGACCATTGTTTTGCCCCTCATCTCAGAAATAATCCGATAAATGGATTATTCTGTTCATATTATAACATATAATTATTATAATAAATAGACGAAAGCACTCTGCCTGGACAAATAGTACTAGTAAGTGATAAGAAGCTAAATCTAAATTTTCCATGTGCATTCCTCAGGCCTAACCAACTACCAGACTCGGCACCTAAGGATCCTGAATTAACCGGTATATCGGACCACACTACCCGTTTTCAAGGTGTGTGTCAGATAGCATTTCGGAGTATCATACCCAAGAACAAATTTTGTAGAACGACTGCGGGCTCATCCACGCTCGGCTGAACAACCTTAAACTGTACTCTTACTTTAGAGTACTCTATTTCATTATCTCTATGGGGGTATATGGGGACTTTACGACAATCGGTTTGAATGCTTTAACCACTTTTGATAGGGCTTTTTTGCATTGTATTAGATTAATATGCCAGTCTAAGGTTCATCTAGGTGGCTTTCAAATTTATGCACCTGGTTTTTAAATCATATAGCGATTTAATACGACAATCATTTACTATCCAATCAAGGTGACAGTCGAGCGTGGGCTCATCCTGTCGGTGTTCTGACTGATACTCCGAAATGCAATCTGACACACACCTTGAAAACGGGTAGTGTGGTCCGATATACCGGTTAAGTCAGGATCCTTAGGTGCCGAGTCTGGTAGTTGGTTAGGCCTGATTCCTGGTGTACACCATTTTATGCACTGGTCTTGCCCACATGCTAATTGATATCTCCTGTTTCATGGCTGGAAATACTATCAGACTCGATCTAAATCTCAGGTGTTCTGCCAACTGCAAGGGTGATGGAAAAGGGGAGTGATTGCTTCATTTTAGATTGAACTTGTGTTAATTCGCTCTAAAAGAATGAACTCAAAGGGACATTTTGGCATTCTTAATACATTATACATCATGTTTATTTTTCTTTCCTCCAGACGGGGAGAGTGGAGATGAATTCCCCCCAGGTAGTGGGGCACAGAGGGGCAGTTCTGGACATAGCCTGGTGTCCACACAATGATGACGTGATAGCCAGTGCCTCTGAGGACTGCACAGTGATGGTGTGGACCATCCCTAACGGGGGGCTCCACACCAACCTTACAGAGCCCGCTGTGGTCCTCATGCAGCATGAGAGGAGGGTCGGGCTGATCCAGTGGCACCCCTCTGCCTTCAATGTGTTACTTAGTGCAGGTAGGCAAAGGCTGGGAGACGAGTTGCCATGGGAATTGGACCTGCTCATTGGTTCTCATGTTGCTTAGTTTTGATGTGTTTGGTAGTTATTTGGAATGTTGATTGTGTACACGTTGGAATTAAAATTAATTTTTTATTGGTGAGTATATACTTTTTGGACAATACAGGGCAAGTGTGATGCATTTATTTTGTGATGTTGAAATTCCTCTCTCTTTAACTATTTTTATTTTATTTTGTAGGATCAGATAACAAAATAATAGTGTGGGATGTTGGTCGAGGCATGGCCAATGTGATAATCACAATGCCAGCAATAATCTACAGTGTGGCCTGGAATTACAATGGCTCCAAGATAGTCACATCATGCAAAGACAAGTACCTGAGGATACTGGACCCCAGGACGACAGCTGTCATAGCTGTAAGTTGATATTTTTTTATGATTTTCATGTTACTGGGGGAGGGGGTGATTAGGGCACCATACGAATAATCTAAGTTTGCCAAATGCCTTTAATATTCCTGCTTTGACTTTGCACAATGTTTTACTCAAGTGGCTTGGTGGCTAATTGCTAGAGTAATTTGATACAACCTCTGAAATGTGATAGATGTGTTGCTTATACAGTTATGTCACAAAATGAAACATTCATTCACACTGTTTTTTTCTCTCCTGTTTCAGGAAGGTAAAGGCCATGCTGGATCAAAGACGTCTAATCTAACAGTCCTGAAGGACGGCAGAATTTTCACCACTGGGTTCTCCAAGATGAGTGATAGGCAATATGGCCTGTGGCAGGACGTAAGCTTCTTTTCAGCCAGCTTCCAAATAAAAACCATTTTTATGTCATTGCATGATTCAAGCTTTAAAATCTAAATCTATTTTGATGCTGTTCACTTCTTTATTGTTACAATTCGGAAAAATTAATTTTAAGTTGAAAAATATTGGTGTGCAGTTCATGACTATCAATTTATTTTGGTTATATTTCACCCCTGCTTCTTTACAGAAAGGTGATGGCACCATTGAGAACTTAGTAGAAGAAGATATAGACCAGAGTAATGGGGTGCTTTTCCCGATGTATGATGTGGATACTGGAGTGGTTTATATTGCCGGAAAGGTAATATATTTATACAAACAGACTTCTTTTAGAAAAAATGTCATACTTAACCCTCCATTCATTTTCCGAGAGTCACCATGATGTTAACTGTGTAAAATTGTGCAACTTAATTTCATAGTGCTATGTTTGTAGGTAATCCTTTTTGAGGATAATGCCATTTTGGAATTTGAAAGATTAAATCTTTAAATACACCATTTGTTAAATGTTTACGAATTATTTGATTATGATATAGATGGTTAACATTTTATCCACCTACATTGTAGTATTATTGAGTTTATCTTTCTAATGTAAATTCATTTTCTATTTTACATCCAGGGGGACAGTAAAATAATGTACTTTGAGGTGGAAGGAGACAATGTGTACTACCTGAACTCCTACTCCTCCAAGGACCCACAGAGGGGCATAGGAATGATGCCTAAGAGAGGGTTAGATGTGAATATCTGTGAAGTAGCCAGGTAAGAGAGGGTTAGATGTTAATAGTTGTGAAGTAGCCAGGTGAGAGAGGGTTAGATGTTAATAGTTGTGAAGTAGCCAGGTAAGAGAGGGTTAGATGTTAATAGCTGTGAAGTAGCCAGGTAAGAGAGGGTTAGATGTGAATATCTGTGAAGTAGCCAGGTGAGAGAGGGTTAGATGTTAATAGCTGTGAAGTAGTCAGGTAAGAGAGGGTTAGATGTTAATATCTGTGAAGTAGCCAGGTGAGAGAGGCTTAGGTGTTAATAGCTGTGAAGTAGTCAGGTAAGAGAACGAAATGACATACTGACAGCTTGTCAGTGTTGTCTTTATTCTGACATAAAAAGACAAGATTTTTTGTGTCTTAAGTATTGGAGATAAGTAGAAAAATGTACTTTTACATGCTGCTGGAATTGCTCCATACTTTCCCTATTGTTGCAGGTTCTACAAGCTGCACCAGAAAGGTCTCTGTGAGCCAATCTCTATGATAGTGCCCAGGAAGGTGAGCTCTTCCTGAATATAGTTTGTTTTCTGTCACAATACATAATAAGTCATGTTATTCTTTAACTGGGATTAACTTATTTGGGATGAAATTAGGAAAAAGATTTCCACTGAATTAATTTTTTGTCAGTAAAAAATTGATAATTGCCTAAATCAAAGTAAATTACAATCATCATTTGGTGAAAGGTAATTCAATAGGCTAAGCATGAACCTAGCAATACAGAAACCAATTGAAGTCTTTTTATTTATTTTTCAGTCTGAGCTATTCCAGGATGATTTGTACCCAGACACAGCGTCAGATGTCCCTGCCATCACAGCAGAACAATTCTTCAGTGGAATGGACGCTGACCCTGTTTTAGTAAGACCAAGAATATTTGTATCTACACAGAATAATTCCAACATTTAGGCTACTCGAGTTCTCTCTCTAGGCATGTGTGAGTCTGTTGAAACTGTCATCTCTTAATTTTTTGGACAAATTAAAAGAAGATCATATGGAAAGCTGAGTCTTTGAAGTTATAGCAATTTAACATGTAATATGCAATGTATTCTAAGAATTCCTCCCTAAATTGTATTCTTTTCTAGGTAACAATGAAGTCTGGTTACAAAGCTCCAAATAATCTAATACCTGCATCCAAACCTAATATCCTCAACAAACTTCCAATGAAAAAAGCTGCTGTTTCTGGGGCAGTCCCTCAAGCCAAGCAGGAGAACGTCTCACATGCACCAGTAGTTGCAGCAGTTACACCAGCCAGAGAAGAAAAACCTGCAGCTTCCTTACAGGCCCACACCCCTGCCAGGCCCACACCAGCCCCGGCACCAGCAGCGACACCGGTGCCAACATCAGCGCCAGCACCACAGGAGTCTGCTCTACCACCGGTATGGAAATGATGGTTGTATTAACTATGTGCTGTCTCGTTTGCTAGGGTTAGGGTACTATGGGTTCTCTGCATCTTATCTCTGGTGACTTATTTTAGATGAGTGTGTTGTGTTAGTTTATTATCCAGTCTTTTGCACATACGTGTTATAATATATGTATTTCATGTTCCAATATGTTGTTATTGATGGTTGTGAAAAGCTAACACAGTGTTAGTGAATGACAATTAATTTTATTGCCTTATTCTTGTTGAATTTTAATGAAGGATCCACATTATCTACATTTTGTTCGTTCAGACCAAGGTTCACAAGATGAAATAATGTATTATTAGCACTCATTGGATATTGTGAGAATAGGCAGATATGGCAGAAATTTTATAATTTGAAAAATTTGCCAATACATCCTTCATTATATATCTTTTGGGAGTTGCTAAATTTTCAGTTGTTAAAGCAACTGTTGTTGTCTGAGAGGGATGATTAGTCTTGAGATCTTGAGCATGTATATAAGTTCAAGAGAGCTTTAATAATAAATTTTAGGTAAAGATTAATAGAACAGTTTTCAAAAGAAACGCACCTTGGTCTGAACCAACAAAGGGTAATTCCTGGCTCACTCTAGCATTTTAGATGAGGGGAAAACTAAAAACAGTTTTAGAAAAATGAAACAAATATCTCATCAATGATCATTGAACAAAGAGAAGAGGAATATGTTTGATTTTCATGAGCAAAATCAATTTGACCTGCTAGTGTGATGCCAGTAAAGTACCAGCAGTTCTTGATGTTTTCATCTTGTGCTGCACTTGGCATGGTGGGAAGTTCTAATGGCACACACTGCACATTGTATTGCACTTTATGGGCTGCTACTAAGTATTATTTTAAACCTAGTCTTACAATTTGGTTATAAGTAAAAAAGCAAGTTTTAGGTCGAACTTTTCTCAAACAGAAAAAATCAGGATGGCAAAACTTGCATAAACTACATTGTAGAAAAGGGTCCTTAGCAAAGTTGAAGAGTCTTTGCAAGAATGCATTGTCTTTAGAAAGGTAACATATCGCGGACTTGAACAGTTCTGATCTACATGGCATTTTCCACTGCATCATGGGTTTTCCAGCATGATTTTCCACCAAGCACACTAAAATAATCACACTTTTAATAATAATATGTGCTACCAGTGCCTGATTTCTTTCATATTTTCACATAACTCTAGATCAGCATGTTCTTTGGTCATTTATTCTCATAACTTATCTTATTCAATTAGACATCTTTTCTTAATTTTGTGATTATTTTCATGTAATTATAGCAGTTTTCTCCATAGCAGTTTTATCTTTGATTTTTTGGCTTTGTTTTACCCATGCTGGTTGCTCAGTTTCCCCAAGCATACTCTGCTTGAATTGCAAGCTTGAAGTTAACCTTGCCTTGCTCTTGTTTTCCCATTTGCATGCCGCTGGTTATTTCAACTTGAGGCATTCTTTCCTTGTTCTTTTGCCACAGCTTACCATGGTGTACTCCTGACAGTCTAATATCTTGAGCAGTTTAATCCATGACATTCTTATTATTATTATCTTCTGCAGGGGTTCGACGTGGAGCAAATTATGAGCGACATACGGAAACTTAAAATCATAGTCAAGGGCCATGAAAAGCGTATAAAATCCCTTGAAGATAAACTTGCCGAATATGAAGTAGAGGTCACAGATGAAAGTGATGTGGGAGAGAGCTAATCACAAAATGTACTTCCACCTTAATTTCTGAGTAATTATTTTTATATTTTAATTTTTATGTGTGTGTTGGTCTTTGTTTGAAATTGGCTTTTGGTTGCTTGAGTTGTCGTCTGACTAATGTAATTTTTCAATAATCTCTGAAGTGCACTTTGTCATTTCTTGCACAACTTACGGAAATTCTGCCAAGAGCATAATCAGCCCTTCTTCGCAGTGCACCAAAATAACTTTCATTTTGAAAGAAATTAATGATTTCAGGGATTATTGTCTCTCTCTTGATGGGACAAATGAAGTTTGTTTTTTCTTATTTGGTTATTTCACCTGTTTTGTTACCATGAGAAAAGGGGAGAATGCATGCTTTTTTGTCTTTTAAAATTGATGGGGGGAGGGGGGGTACCTACTTCAGACATGTCTTTTGTACTTTTGATTTCCTTCTTCACTTTTGTCTTGTTTGATATATTTACTGCTCTCATAAAAAGAAAAAGCTTGAAAAATGATGAAAACAATAAATGGTTTTCTTTCATCTAAAAACAAAAGGGGAATGGGGTTTAAGGAAAGGGAAAGTTAAACTTAAACAGTGGCTTATTAAGCATGTGAAATAATTGAATGTTGATTTTTACCAACATCAGTTTGATTATCAGTGCTTGAAGTTTTGTAAATTATTAGTTGGGGTATTCCTTTTGACCTGCCAAGTGATCTGCTTGTTGCCTTCATTCCACAAGTTGCATATTTAGTTTGGAAATATAAAATATGATATTTGTCAGTTTGTATTTACATCCCCCTCCCTCCCTTTATTATGCAGATTTGCTTTTATTTATCCCTATATGCCATTGACAGTCTTCCTCATTACCCTGAGAGTAATACCTTCTCTTAGCTTTATTTTGGTTTTGATTTGAACAGATGATGTTTTTGTTTGCTTCAAAGATGAAACTGGCAGCAACATGGCATGCATTCTGTCTATACTAGTTTCTAACTTACTAACAGTTCACAGTGACAACATATCTCAGCACTGAACAAATAATTTAAACACTGTTTAGTAGGTAACATCAAGTATGTAGCTGCATATCAGAAAAACAATACTTCAGTGTTATCTTGTTATGGTAATTATATCTTTTCAATGGGGGAAAAATTGTGAGTTTTACAGATACTGTATTTTGTAATTCATCATTTCTTTAAATTAGATCATACTTAAGTGTTAGCAACAATATTAAAAACTCTATAGTTATGTTCTATGCAGTAAAAGCACCTCAAATTTTTGTGATTATAAAAATATGTATATGAAAGTTTGATACTTTTTGCCCATTGAAAAAGATCTAGTCATTACTGTAATAAATTGACATGTACTGCACTGCTGTATTTTTCTCTAGAAGAACAGAGAAAATTTATATGGCATAACATGTTGTTTTTGTTCTGCTAACTAGCCAAGGGAGTTTGTTAGATGTGCTTGCATCAGGTCACCAATTTGGCACCCACTTTTTGCAGATTTCAGTCCAGGTTGACTCAACAGTATCTAGCAGGTCTAAACATTTTTTTTCATGTATTCCTTTTGAATCTTTTTTGAGCTTATTATTTTATTTGGATGATAAAAGTTTATTTTAATATTGCCTAATTAAGACTGTATTTGTGAATTCAAATTCAAATCACAGTTATTTATAATTCACATATAAAGAGACATGCTCAGGCCATGCTTGAGTCAGTACTCTGGTTTGGTTAGAAAGTGGGTGATGAGTTGTTCTAGGTGTTGGGTGTCACAGGGGTTGTTCATATGCCTAGGGCAGTGTGAGGAATGGTAGTATTTGGGGGGGGGGGGG